TATTTGTTTTCAAAATCTCCACCATGATCGATTCTAACTCTGACTATTTTGCAGTTCTTTTCATTTTGCACTTGGGAGCAAAAAGAAGCAAACACATAATGCGACTCATCTTTGTGTTTTAAGAATTTTACCCATGTCCATCTGCTGTAAGCATCAATGTTGACTAGTCCATATTTCTTTCCATTAACAAAAGCAGTTTCCACTAGTCCAAATAAGTCAATATGAAGAAGTTTTAATGGCCTGGAGGTAGAAATATTTTTTTTAACTTTAAAAGAGGTTTTTGAAAATTTTCCTTTCTGACATGCTTCACAAAGAGCATATGAAGATTACTTTAGATTTGGTGAACCTCTGACTAATCCAAGCTTATTTAGTTGAGATATTTTTCTCAAGCTAACATGGCCTAGACGTATGTGCCAAACCCACAGCTCTTCTTGAACAGTCAGAAGAAATTTAATATTCTGATTTTTCAAATCTGATAATCTAATTTTGTAAATATTGTTCTTCCTCTTACCATTTAACATAATTGAGCCATCTTTCTGACTAACAGCTTTACAAGATGTTTGATTGAAAATGACGGCATAGCCATTGTCATTCAGTTGGATAATTGAGAAGAAGTTATGCATCAGAACCTCGACTAAAAGAACATTGTTAATAGAAGTAAATTTACCATTACCAATAGTTCCAAAGCCAATGATTTTTCCCTTATGGTTGCCTCTGAAACTAACAACTCCTCCAGACTTAAGTTCCAAGTCTTGGAACATATGCCTTTCGTATGTTATGTGTCGCGAGCATCCATTGTTTAGGTACCATGACTGGAGTCTCAGTGGCGCCATGAAGGACATATGCAACATAGATTATTTGATCCTTTGGTACCCATTGAAACAACTGGCTGAACAAATCATCAAGATGAAATCATTGAATTCGCCATCGAACATTTTTTCCCACAGGAAGGGAAAGGTAAACATCAAGTAAACCTGAGAAGGGTGAAATCCAGGTCAAACAACCAAGAGATACGAGTAAGGGAGTCTGTTACACGAGGGGAAGGTATTAGCACCCCATACGCACTTAGTACTCTACGGTATCCACTCTTGTTGTTCTAATCAAAGGGTGTGTTTCAAATATAAGCTTAAGAATTAAAAGAAAATGCAAAGAGGTAATGCATGCAAAAGAAAAGAGAAAATAATATAGGGAAAATAAAGTTGTGCTCGTCCGAGCCCTACCCCAATGCCTAAGTATCCCTTTTAAGGAATCAAAGTAGTCATAGTTCGGCTCAAAAGTTTTTGTTTGTTTGCATTTTTTAATGAACAATATTAATTTTGCCTTCTGCCGCAACTTGACCTTTGGAGACTAACGCGTCCGCACAGAAGTTAATTAACATGTTCTTTTGAAAATTTTTGAAAGAAAATCCCGAAGGCACAAAAGGTTTGTATTGGTTGATAGTCTTTACCTTAAAGAAGGATTTGAAAATTGTTAGATGTTTTATGCATTTGCTAAGAAAAAGAAGAGTTTTAGTCTTAAAACAAGGATGTAAAAGAAAGAAAAACATCTAAGGGATACTAACCTAAATTTATCCCTAATTTTATCATACAATGATTGACCCTAGCGTTGAGTTTTGAAAGGGAAATCTCTAACCTATGTTAGCATGCATGGATACCTATCCTAATGTCTAGCTCAAAAGCTACTCTAATCGAGCGATCCTAAGGGAAGCATATAAATTCCTATTCTAAGGGAACATGGTATAACAAATAACTAAGCAAACAAGTGCTTTGGCAAAAGCACACAAACATAAGTAACACATACTGAATCAAAGGGATGAGGGTAACAAGATAAATGCTTTACCTAAGGGGAGCATATCACCCAAAGCAAACAAGCGGGAGACAGATGAAATAAAAAATATGACGTCCAAAGCGATTGAATACTGATAAAATTGAATCGCACTGCATATTTGACTCAATTCGCACATGTTTATTAGGTTTTTATTGTTATTATGTTGTGTTATGTTTTCATTTTGTTTTGTTTTCAGTTTTTTTTTGTCTTTTCTAAGCCTTGCTTGAAGAAGTGAAGAAAAACGAGCTAAAAATCAAGATTTTGGAGTTTTTGCACTTGTGGCTTCCACCATGGCGCCCGCCATAGGGTTAGCCATGAGATGGCCAACTTCAGCCAACTGCCAACTGGCACGTTCTCCACTACTTCTTCATTTTTGGAGCATGGCGGCCGCCAAACCCCCATGGCGGGCGCCACCCTTGCAAATTCACTTCCCTCTCAAAAGAAGTTGGAGGGCATTCTTGTTATTTCCAAAATCCTCCTAGGCCTATAAATAGAAGTGATTTCAGCTCTTCTTCTTCATCCAAGCTTAGTTGCACTGACTTAAGCCATATATTGTCCAATTGTAAGCAATAATCTCTTCACATCGAAGAATTATCGCACGAGTCATTAAGTCTGTAATCAAGTTTGGAGCACTTTACAATCTTGCCACCATTTTAATTCAAGTTTCCTTTATTTCATTCAAATTTAACTTCCAGTCAAGTTGCTTTAAAGCCCTTCGTTTGGAGCAGGTTTTTATTTAAGTTTCCGCATTTATCGCATTTATTTCCTCGCACTTTCTTTACTTTGTTTATTTTCTCACATCACACTTGCTTTACTTTGTTTATTTTCTGGCATCGCAATTGCTTTACTTTGTTTATTTTCTCGCATCACATTTACTTATCTTTTAACCTTTTTACTTTCTGCTTAAACATGACTTGCTTTAATAAGTTTATTTCCATGTCTGGCTAATTTTCTTTAGGGTTAGAATGTAATGGTCATGGTTAAGGTAACTGTCTAAACATTGCACCTGTAGGAATACTTTAGGGGCTGCTTTGGTTTTTAACACAAGTTTTCTGCACTTTATTTTCTGTTGGGTAAGATCGAAAGTTGTCCAACCATTGATAAACTTGGTCAGTCTTAATTGCTTAAAGAGAGCGAAAGAGTTTTGTTCAATTAAGTAAGAACCTTTAAATATTTAGAAGAAATGATTTGAAAACCTTTTTCGGGCGCGTTTATAGGTTTAAAAGTCTAATCATCTCTTGGTTAGAAGTTCTGAGTCAAAATCACTTTTCAACTTAGTCAAGTAACTATATTTCTTAAAAATAGGTTTATTACTTTAACGCAATACACACCTTTTATCCGTGATAATAAAAAGGAATTATTTAAAGAATAAACTCGATTCTGAATACGCAAAAGCGACAATTCCTGTTAAATTAGTTCTTTTTAAAGTAGGAAATATTTCCCCATAAGTAGTTTTATTAGAAGCATTTTAGAGTATTATCTAACCATTGTGATTTGCATTCAAACCTGTTGCTTTTATCTGAATTGACATCTTTAACTTTATTTACGATGCCTGCTATAAAACCCTGATTTGATCTGCCTTAGATAAACATGGTGATAATAGAATTTGATAGATTGACGTTTTGGTCTCAGTGGGATCGATAATATTTTATATTACTCTGACGTGATTCGTATACTTGTGAAAATCACGCATCAAATACCTAACCAAGATATAGAAGATTGAGGTAGGAGATATAAGAAAATATGAACGATCATGGAGTGTCAGCATCGGCCAATGCAAACTCTTGTCAAAGCGTGGGGGCTTAATTGCAAAACCTTTCCAACTTGATGGACTCGATACATAAGATCTGCATGACTTTGAATCATCGACGTACAATGTGAGCTAAGGATGACACATACTAAAATGTGCAGGGGTCAATTACGGAACCTCCCCGCTAGCCTTTTTTTGAGGACTAATCATCTGTAATATAATGCAGACACAAATGTAAACACACGTGCGGAATACCTACTTCAAAGGTAGGATTTTAAACAAACACAATTAGCATACAAGAAGTTGTGCCTGCTACAGGACTTTAACCAGATACTTCGAGTGCACGCTCTTTATTTCCTACTTCCTACTTTACATGATCTCCATAAAGCAATAAAGTCCCCTACTATACATGATCTCTAGAAAATCGTAGATGATGAAATGAGGTTAACAAGAGTAAATACCAAATGAACAAAAGTTCATAGCGCCGCGAGCAAAAACAGAGAAACTCAGAAAACTTCAAGTAAGCTTCACCAAGCAAAGAAAAGATTCAAAAATCAAATGCTCCGAATAAGTGTCGAGGAATCATCAATGTGAAAATAAATCACAATCAAAATCTCAAGCATATCCGCATATCCCATAATAAACCTACATAAGACTTAAATCTCAACAAGCAAAGGTAAATTGTCAATCTCAAGTAATCGGATAATCAAAATTTACCTCCTAAAATCAAATAAAAAAATCCAACGAATTTTTATGTTTGATTTTATTATTTTTATCATGTGAAGAAAAAGTTCAAACAAAACTAAACAATTATCAAAATTATTTAAAAGAAAATACTAAAAGAATAAACTCAGGGGTACAAGCCAATAATCCAAGGGTGTAGAAGCAATCCGGGCGCTAGACCAAGCCAAATCAGGATCCAATCAACTTTTTTTGTTACAAGCAAATCAAGATGCCCAAAAAAAAGTAGTTATAGGCTCTGAGGGGGTGCAGAAATAGAATGAGGTGCTGAAGGAATTTGGGCGCTAGGCCCATGAACAACAAGGTCCAGCCAGCTTTTTTTGTGCCAAGGAAATCCTGAATGCCAAAAATGGCGTATTGGGCTTTAGGCTGATTCGATCTAGATCCAATAAGATTGTACCATTCATTTTTTGTTTCAGCATCATTACTTGTTTTATTATTGTCAACAAAAAAACATAACGTATTAGAAGATTGAAACGGTGCGTTTGGGACCAAAATTAGGGTTAAGAGCAAATGATGCTTCAACTTCTTTGTTACAGACACGTATCCTTCCTCTCATCTTGCACGGCGCGGAGGCTTCTTTCCGGTTGTTTCTGCTCACGCGGAAGACACCTCCACCCTCTTTAACGAATCAAAACAGAATCGCATAACACCATCTTCTCCGCTTCATCGCTTCACTACCATGATTCTCTTCACCTCAATTCTCTGTCCGATTTCTCTATTCAGGCATTCACCTCGAATAAGTATCAGATCGGTATATCAAACGAAGCTTAAAGACATATATGGTGTATTGGAGTCACGAAGCATTTTTGGACTGTTGAAGATCAAACTGAAATAGAGTGAAGTAGGTTCTAGGAATTTAGGTTAAAGGTCAACAACCAGATTTTTGTATAGATGTGGTAATGGAATTTGGCTTTGAAACATGATGAAAACATGGTAATCTTTTTTTGCATGATTCTTTTGGTTTCATGTAAAGAAAAATGTTTGAGTTTATAACAAGATCAATGGTATTGGAATTGAACATTTGTATGAATATAATTGAATGCTTTCTTGTGAGTGATATTTGAAATAAAACGATTGGAATTTGAATAGAGCTCGAACATGAAAGTATTATGGTGAAAATTTGATTGTTGTTTATGAAAAGATCATGGATGAAATTTTATTTGGATGGAATTTGGATGCTTTCCCTTTTTACTGTACCATGATCCGCTAACAACTTGAATTAAAAGCTCCATAAGACTCGTAATCAACCTTGAATAATCAAACAATGAACCAAACTTAGGCCTTTAATCAATTGTAACTTGGATCATTTAACCTTTGAATTCCCTTTAATGTATCATCACTTTCACAAACCTGAATTGACCATGAACACCTCAAAACTTTCAATGATTTATACTTCAAGTCAGGATGAAATTCACTAATAAGCAAATTTCACGAGGCATCCCTCTCGCATATCATATGGCTAGGGAAACAAAGCCTTACTCGTGTGGCGGTTATAATTGAAACGGAAATGGACTTGAATCATTTTTGAATGAAGTCAATGGATGAATTAGTTTGATTTAGATATTTTTGCTTCTTGAATTCCGAATGAACTCCACTTGAATGAATCACCTCTTGACTCACAACTTGAGTATTGTTGGACAAGTTTTGATGAACTTAGAACCAAAAACAATACTAAATGGTATTGAAAGTGATAACCTGAACCATGCCTTGAATGACCTGAGATATGTTGAATCCCTAATGCATTAGCCCTTGTATCCGTGTTTTCTCTCCATAAGAAATACATTTAAATCCAACTTGCATTCCATACTCGCATCTCATTATAAACCCCAATCTCACAATTGAATTTCCAATGATAATTCCTTGATTGTCGAGCAACAAGACATTCAAACAAAGTATCTTGAATCATGACATGGACAATCCCAATTGATTGACTAATGAATAGACGAATCCAATATAATAATGCCATAGTCATTAACCTTGATCAAATGATAAGCACACTCATATGAGGGGATGTATTGATTCAAAAACCATGTACGCGAAATCACAACCCTGAGTTTTTGAAAAGAAGACTCTACAACTTGATGTTCAGAAGAATAGAATAGTCTTGTAACTTGTTAGAGAAAAGTCCACAACAACCAGGAATCAAAACCCTAACTCCATACTTCACAGCGTTTAAAAATAACCAGAAGAAGCATGCTTTATTGAACATATACACCCCTGTCAGTTGTAAAACCTTAGCTTGTACGCCCATTGAACTCTTGAACCTCGGGCGCGTATTGCATGAAAATGCATATTAGTGACCTAATGAAAAGGAGCGAAAACAACACTAAGCCTAAGTCAAATAAAAATACAATTAGGAGGACAAATTTTGGGGTGCAACAACTACTCCTATTTAATCATCTTAAACTTGAAGGTGATATTGGCGTCAACCTTTCAGCCTTTCAAGGTGGAAGAAGATTAAATACTAAAAGAACCCGAAAATTTGCACTCTGAAGCCAGTCATGTATTTTTATATTTTTTGGCTTTCTATAATTTTTTTTTAGTTTTTTGGGTTACAATGGTTATCTGGGTAAATCTCTTGGATTTTAGGTCAAGGTTAGACACACAACACAAAGATCAGATACTCAAGAAAAAGATCCATTACAAGGGGCTCTAACGAAGATATCTAACAAGAAAGAGTCCTAACAAAGCGGACTCAACCGAAGATGTCTGGAAAAGATGAGATCTCACAATGATTTCACCTAAAGATAACAGAGATGAATGATACCTAACAAAGCAATCTCAAATGAAACTATCAGAAATGAAAGAGATTTAACAAAGTGATCTCGACCAAATATTGAGGAGGGAGGAAATCTAACACAGCGATTTCGGCTAAAGATAAGGAGGGAAGAAATCTAACACACCGATTTCGGCCAAAGATGACAAAGACAAAAAGAGACCTAACAAAGTGGGGTCAATTGAAGACATCGAAGAGGGAAGAGACCTGACAAAGAGATCTCGACTAGAGATAACAAAGATGGAAGAAATCTAACACGGTAATTTCAACCAAAGAAGTCAAAGAAGGAAGAGACCTAACACAGTGGAATCAACCAAAGATATCGAAGATGAAAGAGATATAACAAAGAGATCTCGACCATATACCAAGGAAGGAAGAAATCTAACACAGTGACTTCAACCAACGATATCAAAGAAGGAAGAGACCTAACACAACGAACTCAATCGAAGATATTGGAGATGGAAGAGATCTAACAAAGTGATCTCGCCCAAAGATATATCGAGGAAGGAAGAAATATAACATAACAACTTCAACCGAAGATGTCAAAGAAGGAAGAGACCTAACACATCGGACTCGCCCGAAGACATCAAAGATGGAAGAGATCTAACAAAGCAATCTCGGCCAAAGATATATCGAGGAAGGAAGAAATCTAACACATCGACTTCAACCAAAAATATCAAAGAAGGAAGAGACATAACACAACGGACTCGACTGAAGATATCAAAGATGGAGAGATCTAACAAAGCGATCTCGACCAAAGATATATTGAGGAAGGAAGAAATCTAACACAATGATTTCAACCAAAGATAAGGAGGAAGAAATCTAACACAATGATTTTGGCCAAAGATAACAAAGACAAAAAGAGACCTAACAAAGAGGGCTCAATTGAGGACATCTAAGAGGGAAGAGATCTTAAAAGCGATCTAGACCAGAGATAACAAAGATGGAAGAAATCTAACACAGTAATTTCAACCAAAGAAGTCAAAGAAGGAAGATACCTAACACATCGGACTCAACCGAAGATATCGAAGATGAAAGAGATCTAACAAAGCGATCTCGACTAGATACTAAGGAAGGAAGAAATCTAACACAGTGACTTCAACCAAAGATATCAAAGAAGGAAGAGACCTAACACAACAGACTTGCCCGGAGACATTGAAGATGGAAGAGATCTAACAAAGAAATCTCAACCAAATATATATCAATGAAGGAAGAAATCTAACACAACGACTTCAACCGAAGATGTCAAAGAAGGAAGAGACCTGACACAACGGACTCGTCTGAAGACATCAAAGATGGAAGAGATCTAACAAAGCAATCTCGACCAAAGATATATCGAGGAAGGAAGAAATCTAACACAACAACTTCAACCGAAGATGTCAAAGAAAGAAGAGACCTAACACAACGGACTCACCCGGAGACATCGAAGGATGGAAGAGATCTATCAAAACGATCTCGACCAGATATATCAAAGAAGGAATACTAAACCACAAATAGACTCATGGAGAAAGAACACCGAATGAAGTCGAACTGGGGGTAAAATATACGTGTCTAGTCAGAGTTAAACACGTATATGAAAGAGATCGACCGAAGTAGACTCTTAACAAAAGATGGTTGCACAAAGGCGAACTCCACAATGAAAAGAAGACTAACCAAAGGTAGAATTTTGGAGAGAGAATGCTGACCAAAGGCGTACTTTCTGAGGATACAACGTGACATTGATTCTGAATAGAACACCGGTCAAAGGCAAACATACACAAAAAAATACCAACCGAAGGGGACTCTTAGGAAAAGAACATACTGGGAATTCACGTTTGTATTGAACCCAAATTGAATGTAGATCAAAGGTGGACTTGTGATTAGGAAAAAAAAGACCAACTATAGGGACTCTAAATAAGGATTGCCAAGACATGTTGGACTTTAAGAGTTGAAAATATGCAAGAACTACAAAATCTCTCAAGCCAAAGGCGGGGTGTAATTATTCAAGAGTGGAAATTATATGAATTATAAAACTTCAAGTATGGATACTAAAATACTTGAGAAGCAAGAAATGCTATATACCAACTCTTACTCGCGCTCTGACGAAAAAAGAAAACATGGGTAAAATAACCAAGGGCTTGCAAGGGCAAGAACAAACAACAAACTTACTGGGGAAATGGAAGATACCAAAGACCCGACTGGTGGTAAGTCAAAACAAACTCCGCTGGGTAAACAGAATAGAATCACCCTAGGCTTGCTGTGGAGATAATTCAAATATGAGCACATAATAATTTTGTTATTTCAAGTAAAAATAGTTAGATTATAATTATGCATGTTTGAATTTATTTTATAGTGTAATGCACCATATGTAAGTGTTTGTTGACAACAATTTTGGTAAAACAATGTGTTATTAAGGTTTTGCTAAATGTCTTGACATGTGTAGCAAACTGTTTTGAATGATGTCAAAGCAGATGTCTTGACATATGCCTCCTGAACCGATCTTAGCCAACATCAGTTTAAGTTTTTCTGTTTCCTGATTTCCCGCACTCCATAATTCAGGATTTGTGACTCACAGGCTGCGAAAAATATGGAGGAATATTTTTCAAATTGCATGGATTTTATCTTGGCCTATTTTTATGTAAATACTCAAAAGAATTGAATATTTGGTTTTAAGCCCAAGCCCACAGCTGGGCATATATAAGGACTTGCTTCCTTATTCAAAAGAGTGTAACTTTTGAATAAGAATACTTTGTTTTTGTTTTAAAAAGTCTAATTCTTTTAATTATCAAACACTCTAGTATTGATTTAATACTTGTGTTGTTATTTGGTTTGTTAATTATGTATCATTCATAAGCTTTTAAGCATTTAATGATTGAAGTTTTTAAACTTAGTATTTATGTTGTTTCTTCACTGCAAGTGATTGAAGGGATTTTAGGAGGGCCTCATACCTAAGTGAGTCTTAGGTAGAAGTATAGCACGGGTAGTGATTAAGTGATTAGATTGTAAACTGGTTGTTTACTGAGGGTCTATGAATTGATACTATTTAGTGGACTTGTCCCTGGCTTGGTAGCCCCCAGAGC